GGGGGCCCTGGAGCAAAGGCAGAGGCAGGAGCTCGCTCTGGCTGATGGAGCTCCAGGCAGTGCAGCCCTGAGCAGGCCTGGGGGCAGCAGGGGACACAGCTGGGGCTGGACTCAGCTCTGGGGTGTCTCCCCAGCTCAGCTTCGGGTGGTGGGCACGGGCAGGCCCCCACGGGGAGGCCCCAGGAGAGGCTCTTCCCTGGAGGCCGAGGGCTGAGTTAAGGGCAGGATGCGGGGAAATCTGCCCGCCCCCGGGGTGGAAGGCGGCGCATCTCTTAGAGACCCTGTGCGGGAGGGAAAACGGCCCTGCAGTCGCTAGCAGCCGTATCCCCTTCTGAGATTTGGGGGGAAGGCACGTGTTCCATGCCGGACCGCCGGGTCAGCCTGCCTCGTCCTGGCACTGACCTCAGGCCCCACGTGCAGATCTGCCCCCAGAGCTCACCTCTTTTGTGGCGCGGACGTGGGCGTCCAGGTCCCGGCAGGGCCCCGGCTGGGCGTGGGTGCTCATGGGCCCGTGGCTCTGCCCCAGGTCATCCAGCAGCCGCCCAAGCCCGGAGCACTGATCCGCCCGCCGCAGGTGACGTTGACGCAGACGCCCATGGTCGCTCTCCGGCAGCCTCACAGCCGCATCGTGCTCACCGCGCCTCAGCAGATCCAGCTGAACCAGCTGCAGCCAGGTGAGGGCCGTGGGCCGCACACCCGGGGCTCCCCGCCACCGCCCCCCAAACGTCCGGGTGCCCTCTGCTGCGTTCACAGCGCCGTGCGGCCATTGCCGCGTCAGGGTGATTTCAGGGGCAACGGGTCCAGTTCGCGCTGCTGGGTTCTCTGTCCCGAGCCCCTCCTGCACCTGACAGGTGCGCTCGTGCCTTTGCCCAGGATTTCGGGCGAGGGGTCCCGCGTGTTGACGGGCGTCACCATGGTGGGTCGGCAGTGATGCCCTGCCCTCAGCCGCCAGGCTCCCGAGCGGTTGGGCCCATGTGTGTGGCGGGGGAGCGGGGGCACGCCCGCATGTCCCGCGGGGAGGGTGCGGTGGGGGGGCGCGCAGGGCACACGTGCAGCGCGTGGACCGCTGCTGTCTTGTGTTGCAGTGCCCGTGGTGAAGCCCGCCGTGCTACCTGGAACCAAAGCGCTCTCTGCCGTCTCGGCTCAAGCAGCTGCCGTGCAGAAAAACAAACTCAAGGAGCCCGGGGGAGGCTCGTTTCGGTACGGGGCGCACTGTCCGCGCTGAGCAGGTGGCGGGGCCAAGGCCTGGGCCTGTGGCAGCCTCGCCCGCGGGGCACCGGCGCTGTGGTTTTGGGACCGCTTTCTTTCCATGCCTTTGACCCCCATGTACGCGTTTTCCCGCAAAGTTAGCGCAGGGAGATTTGCTGCAAACGCATAGCAGGAAGTAAATGAGCAGCTGTTTTCTGTATGAACTGACGGAAAAGCCATCGTTGTGACGCTAGGTCTTGGTGTTCCGAGTGCGTCGTGACCATCACGTAGGACGCCTCACCTGCCCTTCTTTTAACTTCAGACTTTTGGAAATAAATGCTGTGGTTTGGGCTCTTGAGCAGCTGGGTAAAAAGCTGCGTGTCAGGGACGCGCAGCGGGAAGGCCGTGGCGTTGACGTGGATCACGATGAAGCAGCGGGAAAGGACACGTGTCCTCGGGGTGTTCACAGGCCCGCCCCCACCAGACTTCGTCCCTGACACCGTTGGCCGCTGGAGCGGGGCTGGCGTCAGCGGTGCCGAGCCGGGGTCGGCGCCCGAGCGGGGTGAGGAGGGCGCTGTGCCTGGATGGCCCGGTGTGGAGGGCCTGCGTCCGGTGGGGGCGGGGAGGACCGCCCCGAGGGAGGGGCCCGCCTGTACAGCAGAGAAGCGAGGGAATGAGGGCCACGGGGAATCCGGGTATGTCCCACGGAAGGAAACTTTCCTGCGGGCACCAGGCGAGCTAGAAAGGCCCCGTGGTGCCAGGTTAGCTCGTGGGGTCCGTGTCCGTGTCCACGTACAGATTGCGGGGGCTCCTTGCTGTGTGCACCAGAGGCACCTTGGAGTAGCGCCTGGATGGCAGGGAGCCCGCCCAGTGCTCGGACCACGGCTTCCGAAAACCATTGTGGCGCCGTGACCCAGGTGCCCGAGAAAGGCTGGTTTTGGGGTCTTTGCAGGGCAAGCTAGCACATCTCATCAGGTCAGAGAGCGGTGCTGGGGTGGATGGACTCCCTCCCACTGTGCGTGTCTGTAGTGACAGACCGTGTGCCCTGGGTGAGACAGGAAAGCCCGAGCCCGTGACGGTGAATAAATGGGGAGCTAATGACGAGGGGGAAGCCGGCAGGGACCCCAGAGGGGTCAGATGCTCAGAGCGCATCAGGAGAGGACCAAGGAGACCCGGCCCTCTGCGGGGCTTGTGTGACATTCTTGTCACGAGGGGAGGGGACGTCAGTCAGACGGGGGACACACACCTGCTGCAGGACACCTGGCCCGTGGCCTCGAAGCGTCACTGGCACGAGAGCCAAGGCGAGGCTGAGGAGCGTCCCAGGCCAGGGAGGCTGAAGGGAGGGCCGTGCGTGTGGCTGGCGGCCTGCTCGCGGGGGACGCCGGCTCCACGGGGGACACGCGTGGGGTGATCTGGGGCGTGGGGCGTCAGGTCGGCAGCTTCCCCGCAGGCGATTCAGGAAGGAAAGGGCCTTCACCCCCGACTCTGCCTTTTCCACAATTGTGGGACCGTTTTAAGAAAAGAATGCTGTTTGATTTTCTAAGCCAAGTTTCACTGGGAACAAACTCCTTGAAGCCGTGGGTCCTGTGTGGCTGGGTTTGCTCTCTGAGCTTAGTCCTGACCGTGGGGGAGCCCTCTACACGCATCCTCGTGCTGGGACTCCTGTGCAGCTTTAACGCTTAGCTGGTCTTCCTTTAAAAGAACGGACTCCCAGGGCGCCTGGGGGCTCAGTCGGTTGAGCGTCCTACTTTGGCTCCGGTCATGATCTCACGGTTCGTGGGTTCGAGCCCCGCTTCGGGCTCTGTGCCGACAGCTCGGAGCCTGGAGCCTGCTTCGGATTCCGTCTCTCCCTCTCTCTCTGCCCCTCCCCTGCTCGTGCTCTGTCTCTGTCTCTCTCAAAAAATAAACATTCAAAGAAATTAAAAGAAGAAAAAAAAACCAGACTCTTTTTCAAAGAAGACCGCTGGGCTTCCTCGATCAGGTGACGGTGCAGGGCCGGAGGGCGCCGGCGGGACGCTCGCCTGGAGGGGCGTCCGTGCGCTCTCTGCACGGGGTCCCCTGCCCCGCTTGTGGACCGCTGGGTCAGGCCCCCCGAGCGTCTCCCGACGCGCCCCTCGCTCAGTCAGCTTATCTTCCTCTCTGAAGGGATGACGACGACATCAACGACGTGGCCTCGATGGCGGGAGTAAACCTGTCGGAAGAAAGTGCACGAATATTAGCCACGAACTCTGACTTAGTGGGCACCCTGACGCGATCCTGTAAGGATGAAACCTTTCTCCTACCAGCGCCTTTACAGAGAAGAATCCTAGAGATCGGTACGTGGGTGCCGCCGTCACTGGGGGCCCCCGGTGCACACGCGACTCTAGCCCCGCATAGGGCCGTCTTCTGCCCAGCTCCCCGGCGGAGCGCGCTCGGTACCTCGTCCTGCCTGTCACCGGTGCGGTGCTTTCCCCGAGCTCGATGCCGGTGGTTCTCAGGTAGTTGCAGCGGGTGTAGACCGACCCCCCACCCCCACCCCCGCCCCGAGGGCCTGTCCAGGCCGCCCTCCGGTCGCTCTGAGCGGTGAGTCGTGGAAGACAGAACGGTGACTCGGAGAGGAGAGAAGGAGCTTCGGCGGCTAAAGCGTTGCCTACCCCCAGGTAAAAAACACGGCATCACGGAGTTGCATCCGGACGTGGTGAGTTACGTATCACACGCCACGCAGCAGAGGCTACAGAATCTCGTGGAGAAAATATCAGAGACGGCCCAGCAGAAGAACTTCTCGTACAAGGTAACACGCTGCCGTCCTGAAGAGGCCGAGCTGGCCGTGGACTCCGGGTCGGTCCTGCCGGGAAGCCTCTTCCTGCCCCGGGCGCGCGGGGCCGCACAGGTGTCGCGTTGGCTCCGAATTCTCCACGGAGCTGCCTCAGCGCCGTGCGCCCGGCCGGAGGAGGAGGGCAGGCCGGGCCTGCATGAGGCACGGGGCCGGGGCCAGGGTGGGGGTCCCGGAGCCCCTGCCAGTGCCACCGTGGCATGCCCACGGCCCCGAGCCAGCCCTGCTCCCGTGACTCGGGCCGCTGCCCCGTTTGTGTCGTGGAGGGTCACCTGCACCGAGGTCCTGCCTTCAGGGGCAGGTTGCAGGGTGGGATCTGCCTTCCTCTGTCCTCACGTGGGAGCTGTGCAGAGGGGCCCAGCCGCGTGAGGCCCGTGCCCTCGGAGTGGCAGTGAAAATCAAATGATGCACGAGCGTTTGAGGTGGAAACCCCTCATGAGCCCCAGCACGGCTCACTGAGACTCCGTCTGCATGCTGGCCTGCAGACCCGTCCCACGCAGGCCATCCGGGCCGGGGGCGGGTGTGCGGGGCTCCGTAGGACTCGCTCTGGGGAAGCGGGGTGTGCGCAGCCCGTCCAGCCCGGTCCCCAGGTTTATTATGACCGTGTTCTTGCCTTTCTGTAGGATGATGACAGATACGAGCAGGCAAGTGATGTCCGGGCTCAGCTCAAATTTTTTGAGCAGCTTGATCAAATTGAAAAGCAGAGGAAAGACGAGCAAGAGAGAGAGATCCTCATGCGGGCGGCCAAGGCAAGTGTGTGCGCTTCTCGCGGCCGGCCGCTCCCACCCCAGGCCCCGGGAGGCCAGCGTGCTGCTGGGGCCGGCCCGGGCCCGAAGGCGTAATGCATTTGATTTGGAAGGGGGCCTCGGGTGGGCTGCAGACCTGAGCCAGAGCCCCTTGGGCCGACCTGGCCCACCGTCCGTCAGAGCCCTTGACCGGCGGGCATGGTGAAAGCCACGTGTGAGCTCTTCTCCAGGGGGACTGACCTTCGTGATGGCTGTTTTTTTCCCCATGGTGTGCAGCCTAAATTGTTACGTTTGGGCCGTAAAAAAGCATTGAAAAGTGTAACATACGTCCCGTCGTACAATCTGGATGTTATCATATCATGAGTAAGATAGCGTGTCTGTCAGACGATGAACACTTAGGTCCGAGCTTATTTTTCTTTTTACCTCTTTAAAAAATAGTCTCGATCCAGACAAGAAGACCCAGAACAGCTAAGGTTGAAACAGAAGGCAAAAGAGGTAAGTGTCTTCAGCCAGAGAATCTTTGCTCTACACTTGAAAATAGACTCTTACGTAACCTGCTCGTGCCACACAAGAAAGGGTGAGGAAGGGGCGGTGTTTCTGTATGACGGGCACCGACACAGCCGCTCGAGACGGCTGCAGACAGCCCGCGTCCCGCTCCCAGATGCGGCGGTGTTTCCCCCTGGGTGTGCCGTAGCCTTTGTACTTTCAACTTGTTACGTCCTCTGGGCTTTGAGAGGCGCGCATCTGCTTCTGCTTCATTTTTCTGATTGCGGGATAAGCTTACAGTTGAAGCCAAACGTGAGAGAAATTTTAACTTTGACGGTTTCCGAAGACCCGCTGCCGCCTCTGTTTTTTTCGTAGCAAAGCGAGAGCCACGCGTGTGACCTGATGGTCCTTGTTTTCCTTTTCTCAACAAAGATGCAGCAGCAGGAACTGGCGCAGATGAGGCAGCGGGACGCCAACCTCACCGCGCTCGCTGCCATCGGGCCCCGGAAGAAGCGGAAGGTGGACTCTCCGGGACCAGGGTCGGGGACGGAGGTACGGTACCGTGGCGGCGGCGGCGAGGAGGGCTGGAGGGGCCCCGGGGGCGTCTCCGCTGTGTGCGCCAGGTCGGGCAGGTGCCCAGGATCCTCGACCGCCCTGCGTGCCCCCACCCCGCGGGCCTCCCTGGAGTACTTGTGCGCCTGACACCTCACGCTCACGTCAGCTTGTCGTGGACGCTGCGGGAGCCCGGGTTCTCGCCACACGGAGGCTTGGTCCGCGTGCGTGGACGCGGTGAGCGTCGGGCCGCCCGCGGAAGGAGCTGTTGGAAGAGGCCCGTGTGTGGGGCGGGCGAGGAGCCGGGCCGGGAGTCCGGGTGCCGGGGAGAGGGACCCGTGCCGCTTTCCGTGTGTCCAGATTTTGTTGGTTTCTCGTGTTGTTTGTTGTGATACCTTCACACACGGTTATAAACCCAACCTTAGGATTTTGTTATCTTGGTTTACCGTCCGTTGTGTTTTAAGTTACGAGAAGAAAGAGAGCCTGGCGTTTCCCGTTGGCGTGTGTAGTTTCTGCTTCTGGAGGCCACGGTCCGGGCCTGCACGAGCAGCGTTTCCCTCGGCCCACAGGACCTCATCCGGCATTTCTAGTGGGCGGTGCGCTGGTGGGGGCGGGGCGGGGCGGGGTTCGCTCAGCTTCTGTTTACTCGAAAGGGATGGCGTTCCCCCCCCTCAACTTTGAATAGTACTTTCCCTGAATGCAAAAGTCTGGGTAGACAGCCTTTTTTTTTTTTGCATTCTACGCTCCTGAAGGAGCTGAGCGTGTCCAGATGGGTGCCGTGTACTTTAGGTGAGGACGTGCTAAGAGGGATGTGGGAGCCCCACGACCAGGCACCCCTTACGCCCCTGCTCCCCGAGCCCCTCTGTTTCACGGCTGGAGTCCTTCACGCTGCAGAGGGCATCCCCATCCCAATGCTGTGCTGTCTCGTTCCGGATCACAAAAAAGGTGGGAGGTTTCCTGGCGTGTTTTGCAAAATGACAGAACCCTTTTTCCTAACCTGATCAGCAGCTGCGATGGATGTGTGACCGTCTCTCTCCCGTGGAACACGTGGTTCCGGTGTCTTTGGGCCCCACGTGGTTTACGCTTGTGCCGTGCACCTGACGTATCTCCCTTCTCTGGCTGCTTTGACGTTTTCATTGTAAACTTGAGAAGTTTGTCTCGGTTCTTTTTAGGCTTGGTTCTCTTGACATTTGGCCTGCTTGGGGTTCTTTGATCCGTAGAAGAAGTTCCTCAAATTGGGGACGTGGTGGCCTTTATTTCTTCAAAATTTTTTCCGGTTCCGGTTTGCTTTTCCTCTTGGACTTGCCAGCGACACGTGCGCGAGACCTGGTGACGTTGCCCGTGGGTGTCTGGGACTGCTCAGTTTTCTTTCATCTTCAGGCGGGATGATTTCCCCTGTTTGTCCTCAGGCCCCCTGACCACATGGAGCCATGTCACCCGCAGGCAGCCGTGGAGCCCACCCACTGAAGCTCGCGCCCGCCGATGTGTTCACAGTTCTGGGGTTTTCAGTCTTTCGTACGGTTTCTGATTCTTTGCTGAAGTTCCCTGTCTGCTCACGTGTTGAGAGAGACCACAGCCCCCGGGACATCCTGCCTTTGGCCTGTTCATAAAAGCTGCTTTATGGGGCGCCTGGGTGGCTCAGTCGGGTAAGCGTCCGACTTCGGCTCAGGTCACGATCTCGCGGTCCGTGAGTTCGAGCCCCGCATCGGGCTCTGTGCTGACAGCTCAGGGCCTGGAGCCTGTTCGGATTCTGTGTCTCCCTCTCTCTGCCCCTCCCCCGTTCATGCTCTGTCTCTCTCTGTCCCAAAAATAAATAAACGTTAAGAAAAAAAAAATGAAGAAAAAAAAAGCCTGCTTTAACGCCTGTGCGGGTCCAGGGTCTGGGCTCAGGCCGTCTCTGCTGGCTGCCCTTCTCCTCACCTGCGGGTCCCACTTTCCTGTTTCTCTGCGTGTCTAGCGATTGCCACTCGGTGCTGGAGATTGTGGGCGGCAGATGGACTCCCTTCCAGGAGTGCGGGTTCTCGCTTAGCAGACGGTTCATCCTGACTCGGTCGGGCGCTTTGTTTTTCCCTTTGGCGTCAGTAAGGGTCTGTGGAACGCTCCTCTGACCTAGTGCGCCCCCCGTAGACACTGCCTCCCCCGTCCAGGTGGCTCCCAGGGAAGGGCAGGTGGCCTCGCCGCTGGGTGCTGGGGTGGGAGCAGGGTCTTCCCGCTCGGGCAGGCGGGGCTCTGGCCGGGAGCGTCCTGTCGTGCGTGTCGAGCGTGTAGCGGCCTCGCTCGCTGCAGCAGTGCATCGCCCCGCGGTCCCTCTCGTCCTCCCGCAGGGTTCCTCGAGGGACCGTGTGCGTCACACTGATGATTCATCTTGATGTTGGTGTCTGTGTGGTCGTTTCGGTTTTCTGTGATTCCTCTGCCGGGTTGTTTTGGGATGGTTCGTGGGGAGGGCGTCTGCAGGTGCCTACACGCGGAAGCAGCTCGTGCCCTGTGTACTTGAAGGCCCGTTTGCGTAGCTGTGAGATCCTTGTCTCCCATTTGCTTCCCTCGAGAATCTTGAACGTGTTACTCCGGATATTTATTCCTGGCATGAAGTGTTGCTGTTCAGGCCTGATGATAGTCTAATTTTATTTCTCTTATACGTCATGTGTTCTTTTAGCCCAAGTTACCCAAAGAATTTGTTTTTTTTTTCTTACGAGCCTTTAATTTTCCTTGGAACCGGTTGTCTGGGTTGGCGGTCTCGGGTATGGGTGGCGTTCACGCAGCTTCAAGTCTGTTTTCGTTCGGGAACATCTTTGGTGGCTTGTTTCCCCGGCTTCCTCCTTGGAGACCCCGACGGGGACCGTTGTGTCGTCCTTGCCTCTTGAACCCTCTGTCGGCCTCACTTGCGCTCACGTTCTTGTGCTCGTGGTTTCTTGAGTTTTCTGTCTAATGTTTTCTCAACTCTGGCGCCTCGTTTCTGCTAATTCCGGCTTCTCTTGTTCTTTACGACTGTCGTCAGCGTCTCTTAGCTTGTTTTGAGGTAGACCGTTACAGTTTTGGTCTGTTTGTTGATTCCGTCTTCTCGGTGTTTTTCACTGTCTGCAAGGATGTTACCCGTCTTCGTTTTCTCTCTTCCCTGTAGCAACTTGGGGGGGAGGGGTTCAATCCTCGTGCTGTCCGTTGGCTCTTTTCACGTGACTTTCGTTTCCTCGAACTCGATGGGCGTGTGTGTCTGAGGTAGCCTGCGAACCTGGCGGAGCCCCTGTCTCGTGGCCTTCGTGTGCTGGACGCTTGCTCTCAGCATCCACGGCTCCCCTCCCCGCCTCGCCCCTGGGCCATCCCTGTCTCCACCGCCCCGTCCTGCCCACCTCGTTTCCCACCTCCCGACCTCGTCCGCGGGATGCTTCTCTGTGGCCGCTGCCCCCTGAGGCCTCCAGTCCGGCGGTAGCCCGGCCTGCACGGTTCTGGGGGTCCCGTTCGGGCTTGTGGCCGCCTGCGGCTCATCTTCGCGGGGTTTGCTCTAAATAGCTGTTGCTGGTCTTGGGTTTGGCCGCTCAGTTGCCGTGAGTCATACACGGGCCTTTGGGAAGATGAAACTGCTGCCCCCGTTGCTGTCTTCCCAGCAGACGGTGCTTATGTAAAAATACACTTTCTTTTAATTGAAAATCGTTTCCAACCTACAGAAGAGTCGTAGGAGGAGTGCACGCAGCTCTTTGTTTATGCTCTCAGTTCTGAGTGTTGCATGACCCTGACCCCGTCACGGTGTCTCGTGTGTGTGTGTGTGTGTGTTACACATGTGTGTGTATACGTTCCTCTGATGGAGTGTTTTGCACCCCTAGTGCTGCTACCGCCGGGCCCTGTCTGGCACGAGGCTGCACAGACTCCAGGCGGGATGTCTGCCTGTCCTCCGGCCTGCCCCCATGTCACCAGTGGCCCCAGTAGCATCTCCACATCTGTGCAGGGACGTGGGGCATCTGATTGGCTTGCACGTGAGCCTGTTAACGGATCCCTCGTTCTCAACAGCGCTCAGGGGACGGCACTTCCGTCCACGGGATGAGCCTCGGCCTAGGTCTGTGTGACTCTGGCAGAAACGCCTCCATCTCGATGGCACTGTGTCCAGTCTGTCACATGAGGAAGCACCCCGTGTGGTGACCTTCCTACTGATACGGACCGTGGTCACCAGGTTCGGCCACACTGTCCGGCGTGTAGTCACCGCCGTTCGGTTAGTATTTGTTCGCCTTGAGCGAGGAGGTGTTCCAGGACTCCGCGGGCCACCCCAGCCTCAGCGCCATCGCGGCTGCAGGCCGTGACGTCTGTCCCCTTCACGCCTTCTGCTGCAGGAAGACCTTTCCCTGCGTCCTCCGTCCGCCCATTTGTTCGTGCGTTTGTTCGCCACCGTGGCCGGGGCCGTGGTCTCCCGTGGTCTTCAGTGGGTTGTAATCAATCTCTCGTTATTTCTAGATTGGGCAGTGGAAGCTCCTTCAAGCTGTTTCTATATCCTTTTGAAATGTCACCCTTGTTGACACGTCGCGGTTTTACCGGTGGGAGAGGCATCCGGAGCCTCCAGTACTCCTGCGTCCTCGGGCTCCCGGCCAGGAGCCCCGGTCCCCCACGGGGGGCGGCGTGTGGAGGCCGGTTCTGAGCTCTGCGCGCCGGTTCCAGGCCCCTCTGCAGTCCACGCGGGGGAAGGTGCGTGCAGGCACAGCCCTTCTGCATCTGAAGCGGTCCCCGCGCTCCGGCGGTCACCCCGCTTCTGGTCCTCACCCAGGGGCGGCTTCCCGGCCTCCTCCCTGTCCTCACCTGTGAGTCCGAGTCTGTGGGAGATCGAGTGCCGTCATTGCCGATGTGTTTGGTCCTTCGCTCAGCACACCCAGCCTCCCAGACGCTCTGGCTGCCGAGGCCCCGGCGCTGGGGGGAGGGGCGGGCAGGTGGGCAAGGCCCGTGGGTGAAGGTCCGACTGGGTTCAGATGTGTCTGGAGGACATGCCAAGGAGCGGGACGAGCGTGTGTTTCCAAACCCCACGG